TCCGACTCTACTGAAATTGGAGGACCACTTTAGGCTTGGGTACTTGCCCAATATCTTGGCTAAGAAAAAAGTTTCTGTTCCCACGAAAATCCGTCTATCCATTGTGCCTATCAGGTCAATGCTGTTGTACGACATGGACGCACCTCTTCAAAGGAAGGAGCAAGAACGACGGCTGACATGCACACAGCAACGTTGGCTTTGACGCCCAATATTGCTTAAATGGCAGGACCACGTTAGGAATGACACCATAACTTTCTTCCGGGCAGAGATGACCGTAATAATTGTGAAGATTAAGAAAAAGAGGTTGTCACGTCTGGCAAAACTGGTTGAGAGAACTCCATTTACTCCAGCCAGTGACTTTCTGGTGTGGCAGCTGAGACATGGCAGACGTCGACTAGCAGACATGCATTTAATACGAAGGAACAATGTAGAGCCAAGTCTGCTGTGGAAAGCAATATTTCCTTCTGCAATTCAGTAACTGGTGCCTTACAGCAAAGTGTTGCCAAAATGGTACTGAAAGTGCTCAAATACCGCTGAGACAAGGCCTACTTAAATGGTCCCCTAAACAGCTAAGAACAATGGGACAGTGCAACACGCCGTGAAATCTGGTCTTGAAAGAATCATTTGTTATTAAGACGGGACGGCTCGACAGAACTAGCGATATAAACAAGGCAATTCTGGATGCTGATATAATGTCAACGGAAGGAAAATTCACAAAATCATAAATATTGCATAAAACTCGAATCGATGCGATAGTAGTTTTATGTTTTATGGTCACCAGATGAAGAATTTTCTCATTTTAAAGTTGAAATCTCGCTTTTGGAATTATCCTACGACTTAAAAATCCCTTAAAAGGCTTCCTGAACTTCGAAACTCACCGAGCTTTTGAAATATTTAGTCGATCATAAATCGCTTCAAAGATCTGTCAATTGCAGAGTACAGTCAAGAGGTGCGCAAAACTGTCAAATATTTTACTGAAAACAATAACGATTGAATGACAACGGTTTACGACGGTGCCGCTTTTGAATAAAGCTAAGCTTATGATTCTACTGTGCGTTGGCCCCGTATCAACTTGTCAGCTGTTTGCTTTACGATGATGTGTAGAGCTTAATGCTCTCTTTCTGACTCTTCCTTCCGACAGGTTGGGGGGGACCTTTACCAGCGAGGGTCACAGGCAGATCAGAGCAGATGAATCGACTGTATTCTAGTACATATAACATCTGACACTGTCGTGCTTAGGAATCCAGCTCTTAAGGCAAGATGAATTCGGAGGGTGAGAGGCTCGGAACAACTAAAGTGAGAATGCATGAGTCACTTTCCATTTTCTGTCCGTCTATGACCATAGACGTTACAGCAGGACTAGATACTTGTTGGTTGGCAGGCCACGCAAACTTTGTGGACAAGGAGTGGAATTTACTAGATTCGTCCACAGAAGCTGTTTTTCTCATAAGTCTTGTTGCATGGGTCATGTGGAAGAATGAACTAAGATCAAGTTTACTGTCTCATTTACGATCAGAAACATGAAATTGCATTTTGAATTCATAGCTCATTTTAAATTGGCATTATATGGACTTTATTAGTATTTTTTCTGGAAAAGCGATGCTATTCAGTAACGGATCTTCTGGGTTTCAAGATTTTATCTACTCTAAAGTTTAGATACAAAATTATGGAATGAAATGGTAGGGAAAATGACTGAATTCTATTTGCCGCTCTTCCATGATTATAAGCCTTTGAAACAGTCAGTTTTGCTGCACTGCAGGCGGATAGAATCTTCAATGTTTGTGCAAAAACACCACCCTGATTACTCATCTGATAAGACGTGGCCCTTACTGAGTCGTCCTCTGAATTTCAACCTCAAAATTACCTTCTGAAGCGCAGAGATGCAAAAAATGATTAGGTGTGCTGGAAAAACAAAATTTGGTGTCATTTCTACTATCACCACTCCCAGAACGTCAGATAAATACAACATCAGGTAGATCTAACCTAACTGCCTTATTTTAAGGACCGACCCTCCGGGACTCTCTGATCGAAATATGGAATCTGCTAGATCGTATTGTAAATGTCAGTTTCTCATATGTCTCCCTAGGTGAAGGCCCATGTATCGAATAATGTCCGTCATCCACGGAAACGTCTTTACACCAATAACTATATTGCATAAACTGTCACTCTGTAGATCGCCTTCTGCCACTGCTAGAAAGTCCAATCGAAACTTTAGCTTCCAGAATGTGGAAATTTTGTGTAAAGAATTTCAGCAGTTTTTTTAAACGATATCATATTACGGCACACCGACAAGCTACTTCGATTCCTTACAAGGCCAAGACCTGAAGAACGAAAATTGGTTAGTCACCGTCATTCTAAAGACGGGTAGAAAATTATAAAGGCCATGAAAAGCGCGTAATGCCAATTTTGAATTTAGGTCGAGAAAAATTCTTCAGGGGAGAACACTCATCATCCTCAAACGATCGCCTTCGATAAATCGATTCAGTCAATGTCAGAGATTTGAACTTTTCCTCAAGCTTCGTTGTGAGTCGTCCTCTTAATATGTTTACTTCATAACAGTAAGGATACGGAATACGCAACGTCCGTCTGCCAGCGAGCTGACAGAATCACTTGAAACATTCCGTCCGACGAATCGATAAGCGAGAAGAAGGAATAGTATTTTAAAAAATAACTCCAGCAAAAACTAAGAACTTTTTTAAACACGGCAATGGATGTGCAATTTCGAACAGCAACTGAGACGCGGCTTCAGTCGAAGATGGTGCCAGCAGGTGGATTCTAATATTCTTGCTTTCATTTAAAGAATCTATCCAAGGGGTCCGCTGTAACTGCGCTCACAGAAAATGCAATTCCGAGGCTTCAATTTCAAGGAAAAATGAGTGAAAGACAGGTGTAAACGACCACAGCTTAAGAAGTTAAAACACTGATTAATGCCATAGGAATTTTAAAATGGAAAACTTCGCGTGAGTGTTGGAGCTCATACCGAAGACACAACGGATCATGAATGATCCCAAGCTAGATACTGGTAGATACATCACAGGAGGCCCTTTGTACCATTCTTCGTTTGGAGAGGACAGTGGCGCAATCGGTTATTAGTTTACTTTACATTTTAGGGGAAAAGTGTACAAACTCCAAGCAGGCGTAAATTCCTCTCATTAACCAATTAGCTAATTAACTAACTCCCTTAAGGAAGAAATTAGCTGGAGTGTGTTTCGGTGAATCAACTGAAGGCGTGTGTGCATACTGATGCCAGAGCGTGAGAGGCACAGAGCTATATTGTGATGCGTGCGCCTTCTGACCCTCCTGATAACTGACTAAAGTCAGGTCTAAACATGGTTGAAATTAAAAAACTGAGGTAAAATTAAAATTAAATGAGGTAATGTGAAATGCGGCCAAAGCAGTCGTATATTAAAAATAGTTACATAACTAAATAACCGAAATATATGTTGGCTGCCTGCCAAGTACGCAAGAAATAGGACCGAATAGCCCTGAAATTGGGCTAGAGGAAGTGACAAATCGCAAAGCCTGCCAAGTCGCAGCACTGTGACGTGAATATGAAAATTTTTTTACTGCTTGTGGCCAATGCATATTCGCCATTACATTAGCAGATCGTTCGACGTCAAACAGTGGCAAAGTCACTCCCAAATCTGATTTAAAAATTACTGTTTATTCACGCGAAGTCTTCATTGCTGTAATGTTGCGAAAAACCATTTCTACAAACTGTAGATGCCCTGTTTAGAATTTCAGGTGCAAGTTCAGCTTATGAAGTATCTGAAACTAAAATATCTGAAGTATCTAAAGTATACCAAGTGTCGGAACACTAAAAACAAGCTGGTTCCTTCGACCTCTGCTTTGTTTCAGCTTCATACATTTCGTTGATATTCAATAGTAAATGATGCATAACTCCTCCAAGACTACATTTTCGTAGTTTCGCGCTTAGACACTAAACCTTAGTGTAAATTTTTGATTTATTCCGAATGGTCGATTTTTAAAACACGCGCTAAAAAATTTCTAAGGCTCAAAAAATAAGAATTTTAC